AGAATCTACATGAGTCAGTTGTTCCCAGAGTGGGGTGTACCGCCCCCCTGGGGGCCGATTGGTTTACCTTGGGGGTGCCCCTCCAAGTTCGTTGTTCGCTTATTTATCACTGAAGTAACTTTAGTCCAGAAATTAGGAAACATGTATCACGTCATCAGTCCTATCCATCGCATTAAGAATTGACTAACAGTGAAGTAGTTACTAAATGTGGTATCTTATTTTGTGGGTTGTGCAAACAGCTATTCTGAAGAATGATTTTTATACGGTCGAGCAGGGGGTGCGAGGGCGGTGGCCCCTGAAAGGGAGCGTTACCGCTGTACCAACCTGATGCGCCGTGTAGGGCCGAAGTGAGTGGAGGCGTCTGTACGCCATCAAGCAGGTTGAAATTTGTCATCGTGTGGGTGGCCCCACATACCGCGGTCTCTGTTGTCACCCCTTGTTGTGGTTTCTTCAGTGGAAAGCAGTCTTGTTTAGATGCTGTGAAATGCCTTGACCTTGACTAGTTTGACTCGCTAACAAGGAGTACCTATCCAGGCATGATGATAATTGGATGAAGCTTGGAAGAGCGTGCCAGCATGTTAGTGCCCTCCCATCTCTCTTCTCACTTGGCCACACGCCCAGTGCAAGACTGTACCAAGTCCATGGTCTGTAACAGCGTTTCTGAAGTTTTCTTTTTTTTTTGGTCGGCGTAACCCAGGGTCTGAGAGTGAAACTTAGCATACACAACCAAGCAAGTTAGTTTCCTTGGTCCTTCCAGGCAAATTTCAGAATATGACCCCAGATAAGACCACAGCCACGACCACTTCCATGTTCTTTCCAAGTCGTCATTCACCATTCATCCTATCGTCTGCTTCTTTTGTACCTGAGATACTGATTTTTTATTATTATTATTCATGTATCCCTTTTCATTGGCTACCAGACGTCAAACTGTGTTGTAATGCATTATAAACATGACATGATGCGAAGAGTTCTCTATTCTGGGATATAACACCGTGTAATCCGTTTAAAGTTGGTCGATGTTTCGGGTGAGCATGTCGCCTCCCTCAACAGGGTGGAAGAATAAACCAGGCAAGAAACCAGCATACAGCAGGTACCAAGCAGAGCCTGTACAAAGGAATTTTTTTTTGGTCCCTTTCAGTCTGTGTTTGACGTTTGAAATGTATCTCATGTACCCCCTGCTGAAGCTTCAGGTACCTTTAGTGATTTGAATCTTGAAAGATTGCCGCTTGAGTCAACTTGCTTGGTCTCACGATACTGTACCCTGAAGACGGGAACAGTACATTCCTCTAAAATGTTAGCACCCTCCTACCAGGCTACAGTAACATAACCCACGAAACCACCATGGAAACTTCAAATCCACTGTACAACTGAAGACCTTATCAGATGGATGACTTTACAGACAACAGTGATGAAACTTTGGGTTCCATAATAGCAGATCTGATAAACAATTGTTAACTGTTCAAGGATGATCATGTAAATCAGCAGTTCTTGGTTTGTATCTCAGAAGGGACACCATCTGTCCTGACCAAGCGTTTTCATGTTTTTCCTTAATCCCTCCAGGCATGTTTCAATACAGTTTCTAAATTATACTATGGCCACTTCCCTTCATGTCCCTTCCAGTTCATTACTCATTGTAATCCAGTCATTTGATATATAATTGTTACTGACAGTGTTGTTAGATAAACAACAACCAAGCCACAGTACCCTGAAGATAGTGACAGTACTCGTATGCTCCTCCAAGATGTTGGTAAACTTCTGCTTAACTGCATCAAATCCTGGAAGTACTCATGTAAATTAAGTTCCCAGAATATCTTTCTAGTCCAGATTTCATTACATATTGTGCAGTGACTTGTGTGATAATTTATTTTGTTGTAGTAGGGAGAACTGAAAGAGCAATATTGTACCTCATAATTACCAAGTGCTTCATTCCAATGTAATTCTGCATGTCATAATAAGATTTTCTCTCTCTTTCAGCATACCCAAATCTGTTATTCTCCACATCAAAAGATATTCGAGTTGCCAGTGTTTCAAGANTAAGGTTTCTGGGTGGGACACTACAACTACACAAAGTTCCAGCCCATATCACACCTGTCCATAAAAACAACAGTCAAAAGCTCAAATTTAAAAACTGGACATCACTAGTTACTCTCTCACTTCAGAAGTCCCCATGGCGATTATGTGGGCATTATCAATCGTAATGTTGTATTTTAGCTTCCTGTTGCACTGATCTTCGTCCATGATATGTAAGCAGTGTCCGTCTTTTAGTGCACTCAATTTTACTTGTTACTTCACAACATGTTTCGGCACTACAGTGCCATCATCAGGTGCTCCATTTACATCAATCTATTTCATTGCTTGCCATTACAACATTGTAAAATTTAAAAAGTATTTAAAAATGTTCGTCAATTATAATAAATATATACAGTGCGTACAATCAAGTGCGCGCCGCGGCTGCAATTTGCCGTGAGTCATACCACCGCAGAACGGATGCAGTCGCGGGGAGTGTTGCAACTCCTCCCCGCGACTGCATCCGCTCTGCGGTGGTATGACTCACGGCAAATTGCAGCCGCGGCGCGCACTTGATTGTACGCACTGTATATATTTATTATAATTGACGAACATTTTTAAATACTTTTTAAATTTTACAATGTTGTAATGGCAAGCAATGAAATAGATTGATGTAAATGGAGCACCTGATGATGGCACTGTAGTGCCGAAACATGTTGTGAAGTAACAAGTAAAATTGAGTGCACTAAAAGACGGACACTGCTTACATATCATGGACGAAGATCAGTGCAACAGGAAGCTAAAATACAACATTACGATTGATAATGCCCACATAATCGCCATGGGGACTTCTGAAGTGAGAGAGTAACTAGTGATGTCCAGTTTTTAAATTTGAGCTTTTGACTGTTGTTTTTATGGACAGCTGTGATATGGGCTGGAACTTTGTGTAGTTGTAGTGTCCCACCCAGAAACCTTAACTTACAGTACTTCTCATAACTGTGAATATAAAGCTTACTGTCTTCTCGTTGTGGCATGTAAGGTAGGAAGCAGTAGGTTTCTCAAAAACATATGTAGCTTTCTGCCAGACTACAAGGCATCACATCTAAGAAGGCAGTAAGTAATCTGCATGAATTTACACCTTCTGAAAATGTCTCTTTTCACATGTATTGGCAAGGTTTGTTTCTTGTAGGATTTGGAGGAAGGAACAGCCGTAGATTTTTACCATGAGGGCAACTTGGTATGTTGGACTGATAATGGGCTTGAGATGATACAGTGTGTACCTTACAATGGAACAGTCACAGGTGCAAAGGTAAATTGGTTATAATTGTAATAATTTTGAAAGCTGTAGATGTAGTGATATTTCATTTTGCCTACCCACAATATTGTCTGCACTTACTCATTAGGTCATTGCACAGCTTATTGGTTAAAAGGATAGCTTATGAAACAATAGCTAGAATTCTTTGTGTGACTTACTGTTGTTGTTCACAGGTTAGAGTTGTAACAACAGGTCTGATTTCACCAGCTGGACTTGCATGTGATTGGTTAACACAGAAGTTATATTGGACCGATGATGAGACCAACCGTATTGAAGTGGCCACCATAAATGGAGAGCATCGGAAAGTTCTCTTTTGGGAAGACATTGACCAGCCACGTGCAATTACTCTTGTTCCTATGAAGAGGTACTGTTGCTGCATTCCTCTGTGTTCCCGAACTGTCCCCAGCCTCGGCTGCCAGCTTCTAACAGCAGCAGCTCACAACAACTGAACCTCAGCAGTATGCTAACTGACTGCACCTGAGGATAATTGATGAGCTATTTCAAAGAAATAGTGGCTCCGGTCTAGAAAACTGAAATTAACGGCCATGGGGATTCGTTGCGCTGACCACGCGACACCCTCTATCTGCCTAAGTCGGAACTAACTTCGCCGACAAGCAGTGGTCCCTCAATCAGTATAGTTCGCTTGCAGACTAAAACCATGGAGTATCTTAACAAAAGTTATGCTTGTATAGTAATACAGTTTTGATTTTTGTAATAACCTGATTTGTTTATTTTGATGTTTCTTACTTTGCATTTCATCCCACATTCAGAATTTGCCCTTTCATATTTCTGGATTACATCACAATAGGTTGATCCCTGTTTTTTCTCTTTACAGCATAATGTTCTGGACAGACTGGGGTGAAGTTCCAAAAATTGAACGTGCTGGCATGAATGGTGATCCTACAACTCGCAAGGTTATTGTCCACGAAAACATTTTCTGGCCCAATGGTTTGACTGTGGATTATGATGCCCAGCTGGTGTATTGGTTGGACGGAAGGCTCAAGTTTGTAGAGGTGATGGACTTTGATGGCCGGAACAGAAAGACCATCATTAAAAAGGGGGTGAACTATTCATTTGCACTCACTATGTTTCAGAACAAGGTCTATTGGACAGATTGGAAAACATGGTAAGTCAGAAGTTCTGTACTGTTGAGTATTGATGTAATTTCTGTCTCTACATTGTTGTTTTGTAGTTGAACCAGTTAGGTGGAATATCTAATACGTGGTGCAATCTAAAAGTTCCCAAAATATATTAATAAAAACTATTACGTTTTACCTGGATCTTATTCTGCACCATCACCTTCAAAGTAGTCCCCTTGGGAGCGCATACACCGATCCCAGCGATTCTGCCACTTTTCAAATGCATCCTGGAAGTCTTTCTTTGTTAGGGTGTTTAGTACCATCTGCATTTCCGCTTGAATTTCCTAAACTGTATTAAATCTTCGCCCCTTCAACTTGATTTTCATCTTGGGGAAGAGAAAGAAGTCGCATGGAGCTAAGTCTGGTGAGTACGGTGGGTGGGGAACAACTGCCATCTTGTTTTTAGCCAAAAATTCCTGCACAGTGTAAGCCGTATGTGGTCGTGCATTGTCATGGTGGAGTACCCAGTCTTTCGTGCACCACTTCTCTGGACATTTTTTCCTCATGTCCTCCCTCAAACGCCTTAGAACATCGCAATAGAACTCTTTATTGACTGTCTGACTAGGAGGCACAAACTCCTTATGAACAATCCCGTCAATATAAAGAAAACAGATCAACATGGACTTAATGTTGCTCTTGACTTGTCGAGCTTTTTTTGGCCGAGGTGAAGAAGGGCTATTCCATTGCAACGATTGATATTTACTTTCAGGGTTGTAGCCATAAATCCAACTTCCATCACCAGTGACAACCTTCGAAAGAAGAAAGTTTGTATCCTCTTGAAGCTGTTGTTGAAGTTCCCTGCAGACTTCCAAGCGATGCTGTTTCTGTTCATTTTGTAGCAGTCGTGGCTGAAACTTCACCTCAATCATCATGTTCAGTTCCTTTGACAAAATTCCTTGACATGTTGAAAGATTAAGGTAAACATTTGCAGTAATTGATGGCTTGTCGAAGAAAAACAGACCAATGATTCGATTGCACATGATCCCACACCATACATTCACCTTTGAACTATCTTGCTGAAGTTCCCTAGTCACATGGGGGTTTTCTGATCCCCAGATTCTCACACTGTGTGTGTTCAGTTTCCCTGAAACATGATGCAGTTAACATGCTGGAACGAATGTCTGAGGATGAAACATTCAACCAAGTTTGTTTTAGTGATGAGGGAACCTTTCATGTTTCAGGGTGTATTAAATGAGGCAAAAAAAACTTAAATATATACGTCTCATGTTGTAATAATTTCCACTTATCTGTCTTTTCATTTACCTTTGTAATGAATTTTTGAAATTGTAAAGAGACTTTATGGACACCCTGTGTATTAACTTCAGTTATCTTCTTTGCCAGAAACTGCCTTTGACATTAGGAGCTAGAAGCACACTTGATAACTAGCTAGTGAGTCCTCAGACTGTTGAAATCTTCCATTTGAATTTAGGCCAGGGCACTGCAACGAGCTCGACTAGATGGCTCAAGGCAAGAAAATCTGGTAGTAACAGAAGTGGAGCATCCTGATGGACTTGCAGTGGACTGGGTGGCCCGCAACCTGTACTGGACAGACACTGGCACAGATCGAATAGAAGTGGCTAGACTCACAGGAGCTTCTAGGAAGGTAAACTGCTTGCTTTCAATATCTGTGATACAGAAGGATGTATGGTATGGATCCTTTGAGTGGAACTGAGCCAATACTAGGCTGCTGTTAACACTAAATCTCTTGAACAGTCGAGCAACTGTCAGCTTCTCAAGGAGGGCTGTGCTCCAAGGAGTTGTTTAGAAACTAGTAAGTGAATACAGTACACTCATGACGGGGAAAAGATGCATAAATAACTGGAAACCATGGTTGTTGTTGAATGTAGAAAGAAGGAAATGTGCACATAGTATCCCATTTGATCACTTGCCTCAAAGACTAAAGAGTATTGGTCATAAAATGCATTATCTTTTTTTTTACTAAAGACAGTTTTCACCCACTAAAGATTTACCAAGTTGTGCTCAAGATGTGTGCACAATCCAGCGTACTTCTCCACATTGACCTGTTACTGGCATTTTGAATGGGTCAGTTTTATAGTACTTATCTGTATAAAACTTGAAAGAAAATCCCTTTAGTATGCCGTGTCCCACTTGTGAGACTTGATGGGCAGTGCAGTGGGATGTGAGGTCTCAAAAATAAAAAATTTCCATTAAAAATTAATGTAATATTAAAATGTAATTAATTGTAAAAGTACACTTTATGGGAAAAGAGGAGCTTTATTGTTGCTGTAGTGGAACTGCAGTTTTCAAAATATTGGTTGGAGGGCATTCAAAATACAAAACGTCACTGTTCTGACTTAACAGGTATTTTCTTGCTGGTGCTTCATACATGTTAGGTCCTATAGTGTGCTTTCAAAACTTCTGTTATATAGTTGTCTTGTGGATTTGTTTTGGAAGCAGAATGTAAGGATTGCTGTCTTCAGGGATGTGACACTCTGTAGGTTGGTAGACCCTTACAGATATTTTGGATGAATATACTGCCTCCATCTTCAAGACTGAAGACAAGCTAAGCAGCAAGTAGAGTAATTCTGTTTGCTGGTTGCTTGCTAGCTCGCTTAGCTTTTCTGCTGCACCGCACATTGTTGCTCCCTGCATTGTAACATTGTTCAGGGGCGCTGCCATGAGGCCTTGAACCTCACAATTAAAATATATATGTTGTTCTATGTAAATGGGGATCTGTTTTTTGCAGGTGTTGATTAATGAAGATCTGTTTGAGCCTCGAGCAATTGCTGTTGCTCCAGAAAAGGGCTGGATGTTCTGGTCTGACTGGAATGAGAAGGCCCCTAAGATAGAACGTGCAGCTCTAGACGGCTCCAGCCGCATGCACTTGATAGACAGGGAGCTTGGTTGGCCTAACGGCATTGCTTTGGATCTAGTGCGAGGCAAGATCTATTGGTGTGATGCTAAGACAAATAGAATTGAGGTGAGAAGTGATATTGTGTTGACTAAGTTTTACCAAAAGAGGATTTACTGGGGCCATTTCAACAGTTGAGCTTCTCAAGTGCTTAATGAATTTATTTGGTTTTGTTCTGATTTCAGTTTAGTGTTGCAGGAAGAGTGGCAGATTTGCTACTCTCTTCCAGATGGTTGAAATGTGATAGAATTTAATATCAGTGTACCTTACTGAATATATTAATAGTGTAGCATTAAGAATCTGTGGAGTTTTACCATCACTGCCACATGTCATCATGGTGATGTGCTTTGCTCTTTAAAATTAATGTATGTACCATAGGCTCTAACAGTAAAAAAATACTCTACATTTTATCTACAGAGTGTATTTAATTTGGGTTTTATGTGATTCTTAGAATAAACGACAGTTATTTCCCTAAACAGCATTAAACAGTTGGTCTTTGTAATGGAAATATATTGTGCTTTCTCTGAAGCAGGAAGTGATTTTTTTAAAGTGTTATTTAGAAGAATTTCAGGGTCCTCTAACTTTTTCAAAATTAATTTTTGGTCAAGTTGAGAAATCATATTTGTGCTTGAACATGGGAACAGTAAATGTTGACTTCTCAATTCTTAGTACTGCTCTGAAAGTGGGGCTTTTGATTTTAATAAGTTAAGTATTCTGAATCATATCTTTGTAGGAAAATGTTGATTATTTCTGTAATTTCACGAATTTTTATTGCCACTCCTAGGTTTTAAAAGTGAATTCGGCTTTTAAACCAAATTTTAACTTTTCCTTTATGCCCCTACAACTTTTATTTTGAACGTCTTGATATAGTTAATCTATAGTGACATGCAGAGAAAAATATTTATGCCAGTATGCAGTGCAGTGTTTGTAGCTCTGCCTTGTACTGTATCTGAGTCTGCTATAAGGTATGCAGTCACACACAGCAAACTGAAAATATGTGTACTTCAAACTGTAACTCTTATGTGCTTTTCTCTCTTTATGTGCAAGTTTTTACTTTTTTTTTTATTGCTAGGTTGCTAATATGGTTGATGGAAAGGACCGTCGTGAAGTTATAAGCGACAACTTACCGCATTTGTTTGGGTTGAGTCTCCTTGGAGACTACTTATATTGGACAGACTGGCAGAGGCGAAGTATTGATCGAATTAAAGTTACTGGAAACGGACGAGAAGTTATTGTTGACCAGTTGCCCAACGTGATGGGATTGAAGGCAGTTCGACTGGGAGATGTGAAAGGAAGTTATCCGTGTACATATAACAATGGGAACTGTAGTCACTTGTGCCTCAGCAGACCACATGATTACGTCTGTGCATGTCAGATTGGTAAGGTTACCAGCTTTTAATGTTCCGTTTCAATGATACCAAGTCAGTCCCAGTGTTAAACTACCTCCATTTAAGATTTTCCTCAGTTTACTGTTCACATCCAACTGTAGCAGGTAGAGGGTGTGATGTGGTCAGAGCACCGAATCCCCATGTCCATTAATTTCGGTTTTCTAGACTGGTGTTGCTACTTTTCCATTCAAGTAGCTCCTCAATTATCCTCACAAGGCTGAGTGGACCCTGTTCCAGACCCACTACTTCTCAGAAAATCTGGTAGCGCTGGGAATCAAACCCAGACCTCTGGATCTGTAGCCAAGAACTCTGACCACTAGACCACAAACTTTGCCAAAACGCGCCCATCGCTTGGTTGGTACAGTTTGCTTGTGGACTAAAACCATGGAGGTCCCCCCCTCCACACACAACCACTACTCCCTGAAGAAACCAAAAGTGGGAGTTTCATTGTATTTAGTATTTTAAGTCACCACACAACAAAATAGCTTATTATTAATCGAGACAAGCAAGTTGTCTGAAGAGCTGACACTTCTGATTTGTATTCAAGGGGTGCCTAGTTTGAATCTCAGCTGGAGTAGCTGTTAACCTGGCTGAGGTTGTCTCTGGTTTTCCTCAGTCCCTCCAGGCAAATGCCGGGATAGTGCTTTGGACTATTCATTGACAGCTTCCTTCCATATCCTTTCCAATTCATCATTTACTAATCATCTGACCATTCAGTACTGTATAGTCTGAGGTGCTGGCAGTGTCACTAAATAAATCATAAATAATCTATAATAATGAAAAAAAAGTTGAAGTCATTAGGGTTGACAGTTTATATAAATGTCGGTATAATTTATTTTGACAAATGCCTTGGAAGCACACTGATAGCATCCATCTTAAATTGTCTTGCTTCAAATCAAACACATTCACCAGCTTGGTGTATGCCTGCTCCAGATGCCTGGCCACTCAACAGCATTGTTCATTGCGGTATGTAATCTTGAAACTGACATAACGTGCAATCTGTCTGATAGATTTTGTTCAGATTTCCACTGCTCATCTAGCAGCATGTCCACGATATATCAGAGGATGGTGGTTTTAATAATCAGCATGCATACACGGGTTTTGTTTCTGGTTTTGAACCACAGGCATGTTTGATTTATTCTATTTGTCGTGATTTTGGGTCTCACATGTTTCAGGGTACTCTTTCTTGGTTGCAGGTTACGAATTAGCAGCAGATCAAAGAACCTGTGTCGTTCCAGAGGCATTTCTTCTGTTCGCTCGAAAAGAGAACATTGGTCGCATAAGTATTGAAAATGGTAATAATGATGCAGTCATTCCTGTGACAGGAGTAAAAGATGCCAGGTATATATCCATTCTTCTCTTTTTCTGTACAATGTGTAGTCACCAGAAGCATTCTCTTTTCACCACATGTTTACCAGAACAGATTTTTTTTCTCCTTACATTCACCAAAACAGTTTTACCACATTTGATTTGTTTAATTCTGGTCCGTCACACTAACAGTTACAAGGAAAAAAACAACTCCGTCTAGTGTGACTGTTTAAGTTTAAGTGTCAACAACACAGCAAGCCACGAACAAACACGGACAATACTAAGAATCTCCTTTCGCAAGATAGACAGGCGGCACAAGATCAGTCACCTCCAAGAAAGACGATAGGAGAATTGACACGAACCTGCATGGTTTATAAATTTTAATCTTAAACAACAAAGTTTTTAAAAAACTTTAAAAATTTTAATACCAGGAAGGCTGCTGTGATTGTGAAAAGTTGACCATTGTGTATTTCAGACATTATATGTGTATGTATATAATTTAACACCTATTGTAATAGTAGTTTCTGGAAAAAGTTTTGATGCCCTCTGAGGATGATCCGTAGGGATCGAAACATGTAAGGGTGTTGAGTTTTCAAGTGATAAAACTTAAATAGTCACACTAGATGGAGTTGTTTTTGTCTTTGTAGTTTTACCACACATACATCAGAAACATATTTTCCACTGTAGATTTATCAGAAGTTTCCCCCCCCCATATGTTCAGCAGAAGCATTTTCTTTCAGAGCTGGAATACATTTCATAATTTTATTATTGTGTATTATTTGAGTAAATTTTTAGGTCATTATACAGTTGTACCTTCTTTCTTTTCGGTGTCTCTCCAGCCATCTTCTTTTGCTCTTCCTCCTGAGATTATGTGGTTTTCTTCAGTTCCTTCAGGTAAATGCCAGGCTATTACCGGCTTCTCCTTTGAGGCTTCAAGCCTCACAAGTAGGTCGCTACTTATAACTACTGTCACGTTCACCTACACGTTTGGCGTTATAACCGCCCATTTGTTGCCCTTTTGCCTGCGGCTCCGTCTAAATAGTAGTGCAAGGAGCAGGAGTCGATGATGATCAGCCCCTCTGCTCCGATGACCACTCTGACGCTGCCCTACCTGGTGTTGCCGCTGCTGAAGTTGCTAGGTCATGACTGGTTTCGGTGTGACCCGGCTCCACCGCTTCTTCCTTCTGTTGAGATTATTGGAGGTTTGAATTTCAGGATGGGAACGAGTTAAGTAAGACAAAGAGAGACCATACGGTAGAAAAAGATGACGCTAATAGGACGAACAATGTACTCGTCAGCAATCAACAGTGTTGAGGATCAAATTTGGGATTGAAAATTTAAGTCATTACCTAAGTGCCTGGAGACTTGCGAAAAGTGTTTTGCAGTGAAAGAGCAAAGATGACAACACATGGACACGCTATTAGGTTAAGAATGCGATAATCAGCATTCATGCGTAATACCGTATGTAAGACGCTCCGCTAACTAGGCCACTGGAGATGGTCATATGAGTAAATACACAGCCATAAGACGCAAGAGGTCCACACCCAGCCACATAGAATATCCAATGAGAATATAACTTTGGGAATAGAGGACACGGAGGAGGAGTTAACTACCCTCTGTCGTCAATGCCTAATCAGCAAATTAAAACTATAAATTAGGGAATTCCGAGAGAGTTGGGAGTCTAACACATAATATTCGGTTGTCAGCCGAAGGCTCTCTTCAACATGGGTTTAACGAGCGCTGGAAGGGCCAGCATTCTTCTATGTCAAGTAAGTCTTATTTACGCTTAACAGCCATGTTGGTGAATCATATTGTCTAATAGCATTGGTGATGACAGTGTTGTTGAGTTTTTCCAATGTGCAAACCCCAGTGTACCCAGTGAGCCCTTGGGCCAGGATACTAGGATCATGTAATTGCCTAGGAAAATAGTCAGGCAAAAGTGTCTTATAGTGTAGATGTCGAGATTACGGTTAGCGTGTAGTGGTAAATATAGTATGTGAGAATGTAATATAGATAGTCAAGGTAGATTACGTTTTGAGGGAACTTTATGAAAGATAGTAGAATCGTATATAGCGAGTAGTAAGAAATGTACAAGAGGAAGATGTATGTTAACGAGGAGGACTCGTACAACCTCATTAGTTAAAGAGAGAGAGAGAGCGAGGTGCAAGGCCTCCACCCCCGAAAGGGGAGAACCTGAAGACACAGAACGAGCAGTAGGGACTTTATGTAGTTACGACTGAGAGTCGGTCTTGTTAACAATGTAAATAATGTAAATCATATATATATATATATAATGTAAATAGACAGCTAGAATAGATAGGATAGGATGTACCGGGAGTGTAATTCATATTGATAATCCACCTCCCACATCCGATCCCAAGTAATCCTGACCGGCGAGGGCCGAACTGAGACAGGAGCAGTGGCAGCCGAAGACGAAGATAAGAATAGACAGGGATAGGCTCCTGCCACACAGGCAGAGTATGGTAGCCTTGATAGTAACGCCCCCTCAAGATAAAGATGATAAAGTGTATTAATAAAGTATTAAGTCGCTACCTGTAAACTATATGAGGAGTGGTCAAGAAGGGGCTATGACTATTTGCCAGGGAGCGGTGCCCACGATCGAAAGGGCATATAAAAGATGGTGGCAGCTTTTTGAGAGAAGGAAACCCCGAAGAGGAGAATCCTAGCTGAGGGTAAGCTAGGATTATGGTGTTGACTCCTCACAGAGAAAGCTGGGTGTGGCAAGGATGGGTACCTGCACACCCCCGACGTCACGACGTAACAGTGATGGCAGTGTTACAGCATAAACAAGTGGAGGCGAGGAGGGATGACTCCACGGCCCTCTACTTGCGGCGTAACCGCGGTGGCAGAGGAGGCTGACTCCACGCCCCCCTGCTCCACGGCACTACATTCACCAAAACAGTTTTACCACATTTGATTTGTTTAATTCTGGTCCGTCACACTAACAGTTACAAGGAAAAAAACAACTCCGTCTAGTGTGACTGTTTAAGTATAAGTGTCAACAACACAGCAAGCCACGAACAAACATGGACAATACTAAGAATCTCCTTTCGCAAGATAGACAGGCGGCACAAGATCAGTCACCTCCAAGAAAGACGATAGGAGAATTGACACGAACCTGCATGGTTTATAAATTTTAATCTTAAACAACAAAGTTTTTAAAAAACTTTAAAAATTTTAATACCAGGAAGGCTGCTGTGATTGTGAAAAGTTGACCATTGTGTATTTCAGACATTATATGTGTATGTATATAATTTAACACCTATTGTAATAGTAGTTTCTGGAAAAAGTTTTGATGCCCTCTGAGGATGATCCGTAGGGATCGAAACATGTAAGGGTGTTGAGTTTTCAAGTGATAAAACTTAAATAGTCACACTAGATGGAGTTGTTTTTGTCTTTGTAGTTTTACCACACATACATCAGAAACATATTTTCCACTGTAGATTTATCAGAAGTTTCCCCCCCCCCATATGTTCAGCAGAAGCATTTTCTTTCAGAGCTGGAATACATTTCATAATTTTATTATTGTGTATTATTTGAGTAAATTTTTAGGTCATTATACAGTTGTACCTTCTTTCTTTTCGGTGTCTCTCCAGCCATCTTCTTTTGCTCTTCCTCCTGAGATTATGTGGTTTTCTTCAGTTCCTTCAGGTAAATGCCAGGCTATTACCGGCTTCTCCTTTGAGGCTTCAAGCCTCACAAGTAGGTCGCTACTTATAACTACTGTCACGTTCACCTACACGTTTGGCGTTATAACCGCCCATTTGTTGCCCTTTTGCCTGCGGCTCCGTCTAAATAGTAGTGCAAGGAGCAGGAGTCAATGATGATCAGCCCCTCTGCTCCGATGACCACTCTGACGCTGCCCTACCTGGTGTTGCCGCTGCTGAAGTTGCTAGGTCATGACTGGTTTCGGCGTGACCCGGCTCCACCGCTTCTTCCTTCTGTTGAGATTATTGGAGGTTTGAATTTCAGGATGGGACCTGATGGTATGGGTGCCAGCAAACAGTTAGAGACTGTTTACGATTCATTGTAAAGGGGGGGGAAGGCGTGAGCATGTGAAAGCTGGCGATGGGTTTGACTAGCTAGTGGAGATGAACCTCTCTTCAGGTCGGATACGGGTCAGGCTCGGACAAGTGAGGGTGAAGCACCTCTGACCAACACAGTTCACTGTACCACTACAACACTTTATTGTTTTTCTTAAAGATACTCGGCTGTATAAATTCACACAATCTGATTTAGTTTCGGCTTACAAGCAGCTGGTGTTACACTTGCAAAAATTGCACTTGATAAGCTCAACTTACAACCGTCCACTTATGGATTAAGCTAAATCTCTTTATGAGTCGATAGGAACAGAATTCTGTACTTTAGCGCGTGTGATGCAGGGTTTGCCTCTGCCAAGTTCTAAAGTTGATAGACGACTAAAAATCTTAGACTGAACTCTCAGCCGAGTCAGAGGTCCTAACTGAGTTGTATCTGCCTATTCTCCTCTCCTCCTGACTTCCCTGATAAGCTGATTGAAATAAGAGAAGTTGGCTTAATTTTGGTTCCGGCCAATGACAGATTGTTTTTGAGGGAATTTCGCCCTAAGAGACCAAATGGCAAAATTGACAGCGGTGCAACTTATGAAGGGTCACTAATGATCTCCTGGCACTCCCACTTTTGACTTACGGCTGGTAGAAACTGTCACTTCTCGAATTCTCAAAGTGGCTTGCCGCTGTAAGTCAAATTCTCAATTTCTAAAGANTCTATCTGCTCATTGCCTATTCCTTGTTCTGACAGTGTGTCTTAAACCTTTGTTTCTTCATAAATTCTTATTATCAACTCTTTATCAGCTACTGAAATAAAAATAGAAGGGGGGGAGGAATTTCAATGGTGCGGTTACAAGGCTGGTTTCTTAGGTCGTCTCTGCTGCATACCGTATCCTTTCCAATTTATTATTTATGTATTTATTGTTCACTCATTTGGTATTACATAGACAGATACTGATTACATAATTAAATAAGCACGACATCATCCCTGTGTTTCTCATTCCCTTTATCCAACTACTTCTCTTCCACTGTCTTGTTTCTTCTCTTCCTTCCTCCATCTTCTTCCTCATATTGAGTCTGGAACACAGCACAGAGAAGGAAGTATTCAGAAAGAGCAGTACATAATGAAACAGGACAAATTCCTTGTGCAGTAAAGTGTATGATGGTATATAAAATGCAACAAAATGTAATAATATGATTCTCCTTCAGTGCTTTGGATTTTGACATCAATGAGAACCGCATTTATTGGACAGATGTAAAAGTGAAAGCTATAAG